CCCCAAAACCCCAAAACCCCAAAACCCCAAAACCCCAAAACCCCTTACAGTCTTTGTTCTATTGAAAAGTTAGTAATTTTAAACAATTTTGTAATTTCATGTAAAAAAATAAAGTTAAACATGTACAGAACATTACCATTTTGATAGGAAAAATTTGGTTGGATTGTGCGAAAGTACATGAAGAGAGGTTATTAATTAAGAAATTGATTTTATGAGTTAAAGAAGCAATTTTAATGAAGAAGAGTGGTAAGAGGGATATTAATAGCAGACAAAAGTAGTCTGATTTATTTACAATACATTTTAGTAACCTAATGTGTTTTTGTTCAGACTGAGTAGATCATGCAGAAAGTGAAATACTGCCAAAGTTTGAATGATTACAAGCGAAAGAAGACTTTGTGGCTGTTCTAGAGAAATATTTTGGACAGAAAGTTATTGAATGGCATAAAACTACAAAAATGAATTCTTATGAAATGTGTAGGCCTGCTTATTATCCTTCTTGTCCCTTTATTTTTCCATTTTGAAATATCCAGATTTAAATTTTATTAAAGCAGCATTATTGTACACAAAATCAGAACAAAGGTAAAAAATAAATATGTTGACATTTCCTTTACTAATCGATTTTTACGGCAAAGAGACTGATGAAGCTATATTTATAGATGAACCCTCCCCTGAGATGTCAACGAATCAGACTTTTGATTAGTTAAGAATAGCATAAAGGCGACTTCTTGGAAGCTTGGGCAACAAGAAAATATTGAGGTTTATGAGAGAAATACAGAAGCTACAGAAAATAGCGTGAAAAATTTTAATGATGGTAATACTACGAATTTAACCAATTTAGGATATTGAGATGACCAACTGCTATATCTAAACAATGACCTCATATACATAGAAAAAATAGGAAACGTTAATGACATTGAAAATACCAAAATTTTAGAGCTTTTTTCTACAATAAATCACATCAAAAAGACAAATTTCATGATATTATCAGAGTCTAAGTTCCATGATATTTTACAGTCATGAGGATTTCAGACAAGAATCAATTAATGAGAAGTAACTATAATCTCTCAATTGAGCTCATCTTTATAGTCTCTCTTCAGATAGAGTGATTTCACAGAGAGAAAGATGGATGGAACGCTATAGAGAGAACATATATTTGAGTGTTCAAATGAATAACTACGATTTAACAAGCAAGGAGTCAACAGAGAACAATTACATTGATGAAAATATAGAATTCTATGAACTAGCAGCAACGAGAGTGTTTTAATAATATGATCCTTGTGGAAAGAATTCGGAGAGTACTCCAACTCTTTTTATCAGAAGATCAAGAGGACGAAATTAATCCTTTCTTTGATATCTCAACAATCTCTCACCTTATTAGTTAAGAGAATAAAAGTAAGCTATTTCAATTTTGTACTCATTTCAAAGCAAAAAGTTAAATCTTGTCAAAATTAAGACATAACCTTGCCAAAAAACTTTACCTTAATCTACCCTGAGCCCAAAAATAACCTCTATTACACATTCCACCTAAACTTGGTACTTTCTTACCCCATTTCTTCTCCTACTTCCAACTCTCATTCCACAAAAACCCCTCTGACCCTTCTTAAAAATTCCAAAACTATTAAAAATTAAAATTGTCATGTACAATGTTAAAGAGAATCATTAACATTACTATACTATTTTGACACTAGAATTTCCACGAATTTTGTCTAATGTTTTCATGTAATTTCTGAACGATCTCCTTATTTAAAAACTGAGATGGTCAAGGATATAACAATAGTAAATTAAATGAACTGTGTAGAATTAGATTATGGTGAAAGAATGTATAAGTATTTGCAGCGAAGTAACCTCTTTTGGAGATTTTTGTGCTTGGAGTTTGGTTTTGGGGTTTGAGAAATGCATTTTTAATACTTGATTTAGAGCAAGGAGTATTCGATCATTTTGAGAGTGATAATAACGATATTGATGCATTTATTGACTTGCAAGCTATTGAGTATGATCAACAGGAGACTATGGCTGATACTAGAGCGAATTTGGAAGCCTCTAGTGGAGGAGTCTCTTTATTTGATCAATCTGATGTCGATGACACTAGCTCAATTTTCGAGACTAAGTCTTCGTATACATCTACCCAATCACACCAAATCAATGACTAATCAGGTTATTATTTACCAGGAATTCTGGTTCTCTTGATGTCCAGGATGCTTCACTTATGAATAAATAGCGAGTGGTAAAGAATTCAGCTCTTAGGATTCTTTTTGCTCTCTCTAATTCATAAAATTAAAGACTCATTATTCAATTAAATAAATTCTTTACGGGGTTTTGGGGTTTTGGGGTTTTGGGGTTTTGGGGTTTTGGGGTTTTGGGG